AGAGAGACTAGACCATGACGGGGCGCGAACCCCTCGACCTGACGCCTCAGGAGTCGCGGGACGCTACCACTTGAGCCACAGTGACTACATACACCAGTAACGCCATAAAATGTATTTATTCGCATTTCCTCTCCATGCTTGAATAAAATTATCTATGAAACACTTTCTCGCTTGAAGAATAAGGCAGTTTTAGTAATATTATCTAAGTTGATGCTTTGAATATACAGTGGGACTCAACCTTTTTCCCTCCCATTCCCCCCTTTCAGGAATTTTCAAAATGCTCATAACCCCCCTTCCATTTTCTCCCGCGTCCCTCCACAAAGAGCCTTGAAAAATAAAAAGGAAGTGAAAAGCATGTGAAGGGAATACTATTGTGTTATTTCAAGATTGACAATAATCACTTTCTCATATGTGTTTTGTAGACTATCTGTGTCACAGACAAAAATTAAACCTGTGACATTTAAATAACTCGTTAAGAATCAGGAAAAATAACACCATGGCCGTCATAAATGCTTCCCATGAAAGCCAAATAAATACATTAATGTATTTATTTGATAATTATTGATGCCTATATAGCATGGGATTTGAATTAAATGCGAAAATGAAACCACAAGTGATGTTCAGAAGAACCTGTAATATGACGAAAATAGCACTCATAAAGAATGGGTTCATTACTAGCAAAGCAGTTAGATTAGAGGTTTGCTTCTTCTTTTAAGACCTTCAGTAGTGTAGTTGGTAGCGCATTGGCACAGTATATGTCCTAGGTTCGAGTCCAGGTGAGGGTTTTATATATATATTATATATATATATATATATATATATATATATATATATATATATATATATATATATATATATATATATATATATATATATATATATATATGCTTTTAGTACAAGCAGGGAGATCACGGGCAAGTAGCATGCAAGCAATTAGGCAGCAAAATATATATATATATATATATATATATATATATATATATATATATATATATATATATATATATATATATATATATATATATATATAATCAAATAAACACATCAACATATGTGAAAACATGAGTCACATTTTACCCTGACCGGGACTCGAACCTGACACATACTTACTGTGCCAAGGCGCTATCAACTACATCTTCTGTGGTGTAGTTGGCAACGCCTTGGCACAGTATTTATGTGTCTTAGGTTCGAGTCCCGGTCAGGGGTAAAATATGATTCATATATTTATATATATATATATATATATATATATATATATATATATATATATATATATGTGTGTGTGTGTGTGTGTGTGTGTGTGTGTGTGTGATTACCTAATTGTGATTACCTAATTGTGTTTACGGGAAAGAGCCCAAAGCTCGTATCTTCCCGTCTCCTCATCGGTTCCATTTTATACTTACTCATACTTATCATACCTGTCCTTAAAACTATGGATTGAGATAGCAATAACTACCTCCTCGCTTAGCCAATTCCAATTATCAACTACTCTTACACTGAAAAAGTATTTCCTTACATCCGGCAAAGAACTTTTCTTACGAAGCTTCAAACTATGACCTCTAGTTCTAGAGCCAGCCATATCAAAATATCGATCCCTATCCACTCTATCATAACCATGAAGGAATTTAAAGACTGTCACCATATCCCCCCTTACTCTTCTAGCTTCGAGTGATGGTAAGTCTAATTCCCTCAGCCTCTCATCATAACTGAGATTGCGTATTTCTGGCACCAGTTTCGTGGCATGTCTTTGAACTTTTTCAAGCTTAGCTATGTGCTTTTTCAAGTGCGGATTCCAAAAGGGGGCTGCATATTCGAGCTTTGGCCTCACATAGGTTACATAAATATTTCTGAACATTTCCTTGTCCATGTGCCTGAAGGCTACCCTTACATTTGATAAGAATGCATATGCTACCTTTACTATGCCATTTATATGTATTTCTAGAGACAAATCTGCCAGTATGTTTACTCCTAGATCTCTCTCATTTTCTGTCTCTTGAAGTTGTACTCCAGCCACCGAGTAGTCAAGCTTGGGCCTTCTTGCACTTGTACCCATTCTCATTACCTTACATTTTGAAGTATTGAATTTCATTAGCCACTTTTCTGACCACTCATGCAGATTATTTAGATCCTCCTGAAGTTCTCTACCATTGTTCTCGTTTTTTACTTTCTTCACAATCTTTGCATCATCTGCAAACATATTTATGAATGAATTTACAGACTCTGGTAGGTCATTTACATATACAAGGAACAAAAGTGGCCCTAAAACTGAACCCTGTGGAACTCAACTACTAACTCTTCTCCATTCAGACACTGAGTGTCTTACTCTAACCCTCTGTTCCCTTCCTTCTAAGTAAGTTTTTATCCATTCCAAAACATTTCCACCTATTCTAGCCATTGATTGCAGCTTCCTAATAAGTCTCCCATCTGGAACAGTGTCAAACGCTTTCTGGAAGTCTAGGAATATGCAATCTGCCCAGCCCTCTCTTTCCTGTAAGATTTGGCTTACCTCATCATAAAATTCTAATAAGTTTGTTACTGTTGATCTACCTTCTCTGAAGCCATGTTGCCTCACTGACAAAAATTTGAAGGATTCCAAGTGAAGAGAGATATGTTTCCTTAGTAGTTTCTCCATAACTTTGCAAACTATGCTGGTCAAGGAAACTGGTCTATAGTTCAGAGCCGTATCCCTCCTTCCCTTTTTGAAGATAGGTATCACATTTGCTTGTTTCCAGCATCTTGGAATCTCCCCCGACTCCAGTGACTCCTTAAATATGATACCTAGTGCCACTGATATTGTGTTTGCGCATTTTTTAAGCACATGAGGGGATATGTCATCAGGACCTGTAGCTTTATGAACATCTAAATCCATCAGCGCTTTGCATACCTCTGTGGCTGTAAGGTTGATGTTCTCTAATACCGGCCCTTGAGCTTCTATCACTGCAATCTGAGGGGGTGGGGTATTTTCTACTGTAAATACTGACTGAAACTCCTTGTTCAATTCTTTGCAGATCTCTTCATCCGTCTCAGTGATGCTTCCATCCATTCTCTTTAGCCTTAAAACCTGTTCTTTTACCTTCAGTTTTCCTCTGATAAAGCTGTGGTGTGTATGTGTGTGTGTGTGTGTGTGTGTGTGTGTGTGTGTGTGTGTGTGTGTGGTGTGTGTGTGTGTGTGTGTGTGTGTGTGTGTGTGTGTGTGTGTGTGTGTATACACACACATCCATCCTTACACCCACAACCATCCGTACATACATACATACATATATACATACATGCACTCTTCCACGAAGTCCATGAGCATAAAATCAATTAAATTTATATTTTCACTCTTCATTCATTTTAACTCCGATTTAGCTCCACTTTCCCTCAGATCATTATGATATGTCATGCTATATCGTCATTGCTCATAAATGCAAAATTACCAGATATGCAAATGTAAGAATTAAGATTTCACTCCCTCTTATTATCATTCAAACTATAATGTGCTCTCTCTCTCTCTCTCTCTCTCTCTCTCTCTCTCTCTCTCTCTCTCTCTCTCTCTCTCTCTCTCTCTCTCTCTCTCTCTCTCTCTCTCTCTCTCTCTCTCTCTCGTGTGTGTGTGTGTGTGTGTGTGTGTGTGTGTGTGTGTGTGTGTGTGTGTGTGTGTGTGTGTGTGTGTGTGTGTGTGTGTGTGTGAGGAAGTGGGGATGTATGTGCGTGGGTGTGTGCACATCTATGTGGGTGTGCATACGCGTATGTGTGTTTATGTGTGGATGTGCGTACATGTGTGTGGGCGTGTATTTGTGTGTGCGTGTGTGTACACGCTTAAACAAAGTACATTATTAAGTTTTAAGCAAAGAAAAAATAGTCATATAGATAATTTGAAAATTTAAGACATTAATGCAGGCAACTGGTCTCATGTTCTGCTGATATAAAGATATTATTAACGGACTAGAAAACTGCTATTTTAGGTGCATTAGAAACTTGGGTTAATATCAATTATACCAGATAGATAACTTTTATAAATTAAATTGCAATTTTTTTCGAGGTGATGGTGTACTGGAGTTGGCTTTTGTCTGTATGTGCGAAGTGAATTGAAAATGTAATAAAAACATGTGGTCCCCCTTTTGGGAGTCCTGGAGAGATGTGGGTAAAGGGGGGTTTACAAGGTCAAACGGTTCGTCGAACGTGGTTCGACAGACAAGTGTTTGAAGTGATGTTCGAACGTATGAACGAAATATTTGGTTGTCGAACATGTTCCGTGTTCGACAACCAAATACCCCGTTCACACGTTCGAACATCACTTCAAACACTTGTCTGTCGAACCACGTTCGACGAACCGTTTGACCGTGTAAACCCCCCTTAAGAGTACAGGCTTGTAAATTACCGCCGGCAATAACAGGAACATTGCATAAGACATTCTCAAGGCCCCGCAAATATCTTTGAATGCATTTATAGAATCTAAAAATTACAGTCATGTGGAAAATACATTATAATGTTACTTAGTCATCTAAATGATCTTGTTATTTGCCTGTCAGACTAGAGGATACATATAAATCAATTAAATTCAATCAACCAATTGTCAAACCTACCAGTGTGTATATATATATATATATATATATATATATATATATATATATATATATATATATATATATATATATATATATATATATATATATATATATATATAAACACACACACCTTCCTGACGTAGTGATAGTATACAGTCAAGATTTTTTTCAGTCTTTTGGAATAGTAAACTACCATTTTTCAGAACACGAACCAATATCAGTCGAGGCAGAAAAAAAAATCATAGTTTAAATATTTGAAGTACGCATAATTTTTGTGATATTTTATTACAGTAAATCAGTTTATTTATTGAGCTTCTAAATACTTATGAGATAGGAGCACAAGTTCAAATAATAACGCCAAGCCCCATGTTTGGCGTAGATATGTGTGCACCATTTGTTAGCCACACAATTACCCTGTATTTAGTAATAACAAAAGCATGGTGCTTCAAAAACAAGAACAAAAATATTTGTCAAAACCCTGTCTATCAAGAGTTCCTTCCATAGGAAAAGACTGACAAATTAAAATATAACTGAGGATATATGTTTGTGGTGACTGATTGAGTCAATGTATTTATGTACATACAACTTATGCCTATATAGAAAAGTCCTGATATATTTTTCCTTTGCACCACTCTACATATAGACCCAAAATCTTCTTCTTCCACTACAGCTTTTCCCGCTTATACAGGGTCGCTATTTCTGGAAAGCCGTTTCCATCGATTCTTATTTTCGACGTCATCCACTGTAATATCTTTTTGTTCCATATCAGCTGTTACACATATAAACCCAAAATATACTTCCATAAATGTTCGCGATTTTCAAAACAGAAGTTGGGTATTTCTAGGGAATTCTAGGGTGATAATAACCAAAAGTTATAAAAATAAAGAGATTATTTACTTAAGTATGAAATGCACAAGTACACAGACAAACAAATAAATAGATAAATATATAAAAAAGTATATAATTAAGTAAATGAGAACATACGGGAAAAAATGACCCGTTCAGGTCATCAGAGGTGGTTCCACAAACCAAGAATTCGAGTGAAGACTCAGTTATTGGTTCACAGACAGGCTTTTTTATACATTTATAATGAAATAAAAACAATATATTTACTCTCTTAGGACTAGAAATTAATAATTACTCGTCCTAAACCATTATTTTTGAAGAAAAAATATCTATCAACCTCTCTATTTTCGCATAATTACCGGTAGATAAAAATAAAAAAGCAACATCGA